TGTATACATATTCCCATCGGCATAGTAGTACGTGCCTTTTCCATGCAATTTGTCATCCTTGAATTGTCCCATGAATTGTTCATAGATTGCATCATCTATCCTTTCCTCTACGTTGACTGTCACAAGAGATTAGGAGGAGACATTTGTGAATACTCTTTCTCGTATCGATCGCCATCTGGCCATGTAAAAACGCCTTGACCTGTTCTCTGATCATCGACCCAAGCACCTGTATACGTGCTACCACTCGTATAGTAGTACGTGCCTGGCCCATGTTTCTTCTCATTCTTCCATTCACCTTAGCTGTTATTCGCATTTGATGTGAAAGATCTTAGACTTTCATCACCACCGAGCATCGAAACTTACCGGCATATGATATTCGAATAGTAGTATCGTATTTGTTTCCGTTTCCATCAGTCCAGGTTTTAAATGTTGAAGTTTTATTGCTTGGCAATGTTTCTTTATAACCTAGTGAGCAGCAATTAACTTCTGCTTGACCTGTTGCAAAAATCTACTTACCTACTGAAGGCTTCGCTGGTGTAATGACGCCCATATTTGCAAACGACGACGTCAATTCTTGATCATTTTCATCGGTCAATTCGCGTAAATGTACTATGTTTAATGACGCATGGTCTAATGCGTCACATACAACACAAAGCCGAGTGCCCAATGGAAGAATAACTTCATTTTCTTCTGGAAAGTTACTATATGCTGATATAGCTTTTCCATTCTTTGCTTCAATCATGAATAGTGTTGATACTGATCCAAGAAATTGTTTTACGACTTTTACTGCGGATGAACATGAACTAAAACACCACCAAATTAATACATCATTTTCTTTGTAGTTCTTACTAATGTCACTATTGATACCACGCCATAAGTTAATTTGAAGACTTGGTAGTTTTTTCAATGCAGTGTCAAATAATTTAAGATAACCATGCCATGGCACTAATACTGATCGATCTTTCTCACGAAGTACTGCATTGAGTACTCGATAGAGACTTTTTTCACCCCAATCCATAGTGTAAAGGTAAATGGATGCTGATTCTTCACGACTAAGACCATGTTCTGAAGGAAAATGACATGCAGTCTTTGCAATTTTAATAAATTCATCTAATTGCTCTATTTGAGAGAGAATAGGATCAAGAGCTTGCCGAAGTGGCAGTAGTGGATGAGTGCGATAACCATAGATAGGTGGAAGCCTTGTTGGTTCATAATCGAGGTTGGTAAATCGAAGCATTATGATAGAATACACAGAATTTCTTTGTTAGTTTTGACGACGTTGTATTCACTTATGATGATAATGCGACGGTAAAATTGTCGTATGTCTAATGTTTCAGACGTTTTTCTCTCGCTTTCAATTTGCTTACTTCACACTTTTTTATGTGAAACCAGTGAGAAAAACGTTCTGTTTCTTTATTTTATTTGGTTAGATTGCATTGAATTCCTCAGAATAGAAGAAAAAGTATTGATTTAAGAGCGAATATTCTTTGTTGACATTGTTCTATGCAGACACGCACCACTCATAAAAAAACGAGATTAGAAGAAAGAACGAGAAGAGTAATGTAGAGAATAGTTGAATAGTAGAGTGAAATTCAAAATTTATTCCATACTTGATGGTTATTTACAAAAGGATCTTTATTCTAAAATTATATCCACTTATACACAGATTTTACAATTTGATATTAGAAGTTCGTAGCTTCGATTATAGAGTGAAACTTTCGAGTTAAATAGCGTTATCGAGCTCTGCACAGTCTAAGTTATTTCAAACCATTGAGATGAAGAATATAATTAACTAATCTGACCAAATCATGCTTCTCGTTTTCTTCCAAACTTCACCATGTAATATGATCATTTCGTTTGAATCTCAAATTACAGTTCTGATTACAAATTAGGTTTGGTAATATTTTAAAACAACACTGCATCGGTTTTTATTTCTGCATGAAACAGCGTTGAATATTAATTTCAACAATTTTCTAATCGCTCTACGCGAATTGATGCAATATTGTCTTAATTCTTATATTTTGAGACATATTTTGTATTTAATTCTTGAACAGCAGTAAAATTTAAGTCAGTAACTTTCGTAAGCATATCGATTCATGGATTAAATTAAATCAAAAATGGTATTATTCAACGTGTGAAATATTTCTGTTACATACAATGCCTCAAGTTTGCTTTCTCTAATGCATATATGTTTTAACAAGTCAATTGCCATGGTGAAACAAAACAAAAAAAGCAAATTCGTCTGTGTTGTTGTCAAGGCAAGTACGATAGTCATGGATTAATGTATGTCGAGATGGAGAAAAATTTCAATCAATGTGACGCCCTGCAAGATGGCAAGAAATAACGTACACAGTTGTAATAATATATTCGAAGTGGGATATATTTGTTTCTCTCGCGCATAAAGTACTTCTTTGGAGTGTCATTCATTCACTTTCAATACATAGTGAAGCATTTCATGAGCGATTCATTGGCATTTTTTTTTGCAAGTCACTATTAGTTGGTTAGATTTATACAGAACGATGGAGGGAGGAATGAATGTGCATCGCTTTGTTACGACTAGCTTGTTGCAAGAATAACAGTAGAATACATCAAAAGGAATTGGGAAATAAAAATAAGCTATATGAGTTTGTTCTAATGTAAAGAATATTGACTGATAAATAAATATGTCCACAGTACTCATATATAGTTAATTTAAACGAAACATGTTATTGGTCAAAATATTGAGAATTTCGACATTACGAATATCTACAAATACATCTCATTTATATTTTTACTCTTGACTTAATAGCACGTACTGCTTCTAAATACACCGATCATATTTCTGTTATACTATTCTTGATGAAAAAAAATATTTTTCATATTTTCAATCAAATGGAATGAAAAAATCCTCCCAAATGGAATATTTCATTCTCTCACGGAGCGTTTCCTCTTTTAATTTTTTTTCAATAAGAACACGCTCTTCAGTGGTGATGATTACATTGAATAGAAGCAAAAAAAAGGAGTTTATTCATCTGAAAATACATAAATATAATTCAAGAATAGTTATACTATAAACTGTATTTTAAAATAAGTGAAAAATTCGAAGAAACTTAAATAAATAAATATCAAGGAATTCATGATGGTCATCGCAATTGAATCGGTTATTTAGCCATGACAATTTATGTTTTCATTAGCAATGTTTGACATTGTAAAAAACCTCCGGTTAATATGATGAATGTTTCAGCTAACTGAATAAGTTACTGATCAACGATCAAGTGATTAATTAATCATGCAGTTAAGTGGAAGATAATTGCTATTAACTGTAAGTCACTAAAATAAATAGATTCAACCGACAGCTTTGGATCGCCCACACACGATATTTGGTATAAGATTGAATGATTATTTTGTATATATATATATATTATGAATAAAAGCTGAAAAATTAATTATTGCATTCATGAAAGAAAGACCAATTCGTTCTCTTAAACTTGTCTCAAAATCCCTTAAGATAATCGAATATTTATTGTTCATTTAATATCGAAGTCATTAACGATGATCATCTTAAATCTCGAAGTAAATTTTATATAATTTAAAACATTTTTTGTCATCTTATTCAACATCAAGTTTCATTCTTGTCACCTAAGTTTCAAGATTGTTAATAAAATATTTTCAATTTTGACTTAGGGATTCAAAAGTAACCAATTTTCCATCTATATCGTCATGATTCAGACGTATGAGATGAGAATAAAACGAAAAGCGATATGAATCCTTTGTGTCAAAGCAAACATCAATGTGAATGTAGAAAAAAATGGTAACAAATGGCTTGCATTATATTTGTTCTTTTCATTATTTTCCATCATCAACCACAGAACTATAATCGTGTTAATGTTAATTGTATGGATTTCTGTATTACGTATGAAGTGACTTATTGGAGTATGAAATCAAACTTCTTCAATAAAAACCTCAGATCCTAAATGCTTAAAAGATAGAAGAAAAGCAGAGACAAAGAAAACAATTTTTTTTCAATCAAACGAAACATTCACATCGTCGATAGAACAAATAATGATCCCAAATTTTTTTACGTTCTTTCAATATTATCCAGTTCTACTTGTAACAAAAAGATGAAGTCGAGGGTCGTCCGACAGTTCGAAAATGTTGTACTATGAGACGTAGGTCTTTTTATGTCAATATTTCTTATATTTGATGATCCCTGGTTTCAACCTTTCATACATAGTCGAAAAGACAAAGACAATTGTTGTTCTCCTGATTAAAGAGATGGTTTATAATTCGACTGCATTCATCCATCCAACATCAGAATATTTGCTTAAAGAACTTCCAATCATTTGCTTACTATAACTTGCTTCATTTTGTCGACAAAACTTCAATTATTTTATGATTAACATCGAGAAAAATCAGTTATAATTATCACAATCTATTAACTCGTACAATTTCAATTTATATTTCCACCGTTGATCATTACAAGAAAAAGTAATTCCACTGAACCACTACACTATATGTAATTCTAAAGAATATTTATTATAAATTGACGTATTTGTTAATTGTGTGCATTCAAAAATATATGTATCTTTTCTTCGACTGATCTGTTTACTCGATACGGATCTTCTCTTACTTTTCAAAGTTTCTAACAAACGACTTAGATACATTATCTGTCTTCTTCACATCAGATATGACATGAAAAATATTATCTCATCAGAATTGTACAGATGTATCACGTGTTATAAGATGTGTGATTTTCCTTGAAATTAAAAATATGCACTGCTTAAGATGTTCCGACAGCGAGATGCTCGAATTCCAACGTATATACAATTTGAACAAAAGAACGAAAAAAAATTAGAATTATTCATATTTCCCTTTTTTTTCGTTATAATTTATTTCTTTTCGATTCATAAAGGATCCTGATTGATGTGGTGGTCTACTCTGAACCATAATGCTATATATATGATTTTGTAGAACAAATTGCGGCACATCGAATAGTATACAAGAAATTTATTTTGACTTGCAACACATGGTAAGCACTTATCTTCTCACTTATGTTTCAGTGACCGATAACACAATACGTTAGTAAAGCCAGTCATTAATATCTAGAGGATGGTCTCTAAAAAGTCATCTCACAAATAAGTTCAATTTTTTTTTTACACTGATGGCCGTGCAAACTACAAGTGACAATCAGAGAATGATACCGGTGAGAACATTTTGTACATCAAGACTAAGAATAAATACTATATATGTGCAGTTTGCGCTGATATCAATCGAAATATGTAAAAATTGCCATTTTTCTCAAATTTAACTTCTAATGAATCAAAAACTTCAATTACTGACATGCAATGATAGATGATACCCAATGAAACCTCTTATACAATACTGTCGCCTTTGCTATCAAGTACACATAGTGGAAGAAGCCGAAAATTTTTTGGTACAGCCTTTTCAATCAAGGGTAATGCGAAACAACGCTGAGTCTTTACAGTTCGTCCACATAAATACTGACTAATCGTTAGAAATTTAAAGCTTTTTTTGAGTACTAAAAAACTATATTAAAGAACTCCAACTTCAGTCTCTAGAACTTTGTGATATGAAAATCGATTGAAAATAAACCGAAGAGACAGAGAAAGAAAAGAAGGAGAAGACACTACAAAAGCATGATAAAAAGAGAGAATAGATAAAAAAATAAATAATTAAAATGTAGTTTTTGAAAGTAAACATGATTATTTCCCAAGTCCATTATCACATGAATTTGTACAACAATATCGAGACGAATATTCGCCACTACATGTAAACATACCTATAAATAAAATAAATAAATAAAGATATTTAATGTTTTAGATAAAAGTAGCATCATTTTACCTGTTGGACATGTTTTATCACGTTGACTCATATCATAATATGTATAACATTTTTGTTCATTTGATTGTTGTTCATAACCAATTAAACCATCAGCACAACAATAATCTTTTCTTGAGAATACTGGTGGATAATAACCAGGTAAAATAATATAATCGTTACAGTTCGTAAGTGTCCGTTGAGATGTTTCCATTCCTATAAATAATAATTAAAACAAAAGAAAAAGTAACAATTAAATTACACTGTCAAATGATATGCTATTTAACTGTGTCTTACCATCTGGACAAGCTGATGCAAGATCGAATTTATCATGACATCTTGACCAATAGCAACGAGTTATTTTTTCTGAACAATCGTTAGCACAATATTCTTGTTTATTTGCCCAATCACAATACTTCCATGTACAAGTCTTTAATTCTTTTCAAAAAAGAAAAACAAATTTTTTGAACGTAAACAAAAGAGAAAAACAGGTAAAATTAAAAAACACATCAATGATCATTATTACCTGGTGGATATATTGAACCTTCGAATATTGAATGACATTTTCCCCAGTTATTTTCATGACGTGCAGTATATGTACAATCATTACAACAATATTCACGTTTGACGAAACCATCGCATAATTCCCATGTACAAGTTTTTAAATCTAATGAAAATATGAAACAAAATAAAGCCAACATAAGTAAACAATAGAAATAATATTCATTGATCTACTTCATCCTAAACACATCTTTCATTCATTAGTGTGATATGTACTTACTTGATGGACATGACGAACCATCTAATAATGAATGACATTGTGTCCACATACAAACTATAGAGATAAATTAAAAAAATAAAAAGAAATAGAAATATGCAAATTCAATTGTCTTTTCTCTTATAAAGTACACGAAGAAGTTAACAAAGTATGATAAAAATTCTGTTTTTTCTCTTTCACTCTTTCGAATAACGTAATCGAATGATATTTGATTCCTCATGACAGCAAAATAAGAAACGGAAAGATAAACAAGGGACAAAAATGAATGACTGTAATTCATAAACTGTTCACAAAAACGGTCTGAAAATGAAATCAAGAAACTTGTTGAAAACAAAAAAAAAACAATCGCTTTTTCCAGTTCTAAAACCTGAAATGACTCATAAATTAAAAACAGGTCATAAAAGCTAGACTTACTATCTCTTTTTTACTATTCTTGCTAGAGCTCTAATACCACAATATCGTCAGCTATATTTTCTGTTCTTATTTTTCTATGTAATATCTAATACACCAGTGTCTTTATGAAACAACGTCAAGTTAAAGATTACAGTGATATACATATAGGACTAATGTTTTGTGTATATATAATAGAATATAAAAAAATGAACATAATATTTATCAACATTTTCAATATACTCGCATAAGAAAATTCACTACACTTTTCTCGACAAAAAAAATGAAATATATTTCAAGCTTTGTTCAATGTCATATTGAAATTTAAAAGAAATTCAAATGCAAAAAAATGTTCATCAGTTATCCAAAACAAAAGTCAACGCTTTATTTTAGTCTAAATTTCTTCTAATTCTTTAATCGAACATGAACACAGATTGAAGGCATTTTATTTTGGTAGCGAAGACATTTCTCTATAATTTGACAACTAAATAAAGGAATCTGAATATACAATTGATTGGCAAAATTCAATATACCAAATACAATTGAAGTAGATAATAAGAAAGCTCAATTCGTTCCACTATCAAAAGACAATGATTTTTCATGAAATACAAACGGATTTTAAAATAAGTATTTCATTATGACTTAAAGATATATATATTACTGTTGAATTTCTCACATTTTCTAAGATATTTTTAAATGATTTTTTTAGGTGTTTATTGATGAAAAAAAGCACATAATATTCTTAACGATATTCGAAAAAAATTGTTCTACATTTCTCTTGATAAGAAGTTTTTCTTAAGCAGATTTCAGTATTTCAAAAACTTTCCCTCGAGGATTAAAAATGAACAGTATACATATAATATATACTACAAAGTACATTTTATGATGTCCACATTTCCTATTTAATCATGTTAGTTTTTTCGAAATTCAAGACTGAATGTTTTGAAATTTTATATACCTAAAGAATAACTTCATCTGTACTTGAATTTTGCAAAATAATTTACTTTTTTTTATCTTACTTACCCGACTGACCACAGAAACTTGAATAAATACCAATTTTGTTACTCAGTGGTTGAGAATCAGTTCCTTTAATAAAGCATTCACGAGTTTCTGGACGATAGGTACATTTAACAGTATCAAGCGACTGCTCACATATCTTCATACAATCAAAAATATTTGTCACATCACGCTTTATTTTTACATCACCACCCCAATAATCCTGTCCCATCAATAGTGTTTTACAACGTATTCCATTCGGTACTTGAAAAACAAAGAGAGAAATAATGTTTATTCTACTTGTAAAACTTTATTGAATATTATATTTACTTGGAATCATGGGTGTCAATACTTGACCAGTAATTACACCATTACTATCACTTGCAATACCATTTTGTTACGCCTTTTAAATAACATTCTTTTGTATTTGGTTTATAACTATAGGCAAAACAACCCTGAGTTTTATCACATTTGTTAAAAATACAATCGTATAATGTTTGTACATTAGGTATTGGATTAAATGGTACAATATCATAGCCAACATAATCTTTACCAACGAGAGTTTCAAAAAATTTAGCTACAAATAGAAAAAAATTAAGCATCGAAAAATATGAGCACTAAGAAATAACATAAAAATATTCAATTTTTATTACTTACTACAACTACCACTAATACATGAATTATCATCGTTTAGTGGATATGCTTCTATTGTTTTTAACCAACAGTCATGATTATTTTTATTCCATGTCCATTTTAAACATTGTGGTAAATTATTACATCTATCAATACATTCTTCAAGCTGTAAATTACGTATTGGATTATAAGGTACAATATCACCAAATATTTGATTTTTATTATCTAATCGTTCGGTACATCTCGTTGGTGCTAGAAGACAACATTAACAATCATAGTAGAGTTAAAAATTTATCGCATAGATGAAAAAAAATAATTTTTCAAATAGACTAACAAAAGCTGAGTATGTGTATTACGTGAAAACATCAGCCATTACATTGGAGATCTCTTGAAACGACAGTTATCAATATTAATCTCATTCTTAAAAAAAAAATCTAGTAGCTGAGGTCAGTAGAGTGCTATGACCAACAACAAAAGAAAATTGAATCTCACTTTATTCATGATACGAAATGGCTATTTGTACACATTTTTCTGGCGTATGCTGCGATATAGTAGACTAAGTTTAGTGTTTTCTTATAAAGCATCTTGTAAGGTCGGAAAGCTATTGTAAAAATTTGTGAAAACTTACTACATAAAAAGAAAAATAGAATCCTTAAACATTCCTCTTCCTGACTCACGAGGGAACCGTTCCAACTGATAAATCGCTTTTTTAATGAAAGCTGGTGGGTTATAGGTTATCGATTATGCTGATTTCGAATATAAGTATGAGGAGTGCCCTTAGGCCTTTATAGGATGGTTTTCTAGAAAACCAGATCTCTAGAAAACCAACTTTAAACTAAATTTTTGTTTTTGACCTGCTCAGGTTATAAAGCACATCAAGTTGTCTATTAATCGATATTTTCTTTTGTTTCAAATAGATTTTACGATGACATACAGTCAATGGAATTCACATAGTAGATGCATATTACTAGCATTTCACTGTACAAATAGGAAAGTTTAATGTTGTTTATTCAAGACAATCCATGCAAAGCAGGAAAAACTATTGATTTATAGGCAACTCAATGTGCTCTATAATCTGAGCAGATCAAAAACAAAAATTTCATTTAAATTAGTTTTCTGAAGACCTGGTTTTCCAGAAACCCACCCTATGAAGGCCTAAGGGCACTCCTCATACTCATATTCGGAATCAGCATAGTCGATAACCTATAACCCACCAGCTTTCATTAAAAAAGCGATTTATCAGTTGGAACGGTTCCCTCGTCAGTTAGTTTTCAATATATTTATAAACAACAGTATAGTTCTGTATTTTTAAAATGACTTACCTGATGGAGGAGAACATCTACCAGCAGTTATTACATTGTTGTCAACAGGTGCATTAGTCATTGGATACTTTAGAAAACATGCCTGATCAGTAGAACGATAAGCCCACGTGTAACAATCTTGTGTTTGTTCACATTTCTGTCGGCATGTTTCAACTGTTTGTAAACCAAATAGAGGATTATATGATGGTATATCCCAACCTGGATAATCTTTGCCTGGTAGTATTTCATTACATCTTTGTTGAACTAGAGATAGAGAAAAGAAGAATACCAATAACAATTTAATGAACAAAAATAAAAACAGAGAAAACTCATTATGAATTTCATAATACACACCTGAATTTCTGAATCTTAAAATGAGAATAGTAGTGAAAAGTATTACAGATATAACTTTCATTGTGCAGAGAAGATGGTTTTTTGTATAATACTTGATATTACTACTCTAGCCGAATGGTATAATTGTACGCTTATCCGTCGGCTTTATATATTCATTAACTACTAAACAAGGAGAAAGTAGAAAACAATTTCTTGTCATAGATGACGAGAGACATTTATTTTTTACTCTAAGAGGGTGATTTTTTTCTCCTAGACAGACGTACGTATCATCAACAATTGAGAGGAAAATGATGTATATATTTTCGTAGTTGTGTCTTTCTATTCACCTTGGAGGCTTGAGTTGTCTCTGCATTTAGGTACTCTTTTTCGTCTTTATTTTTTCCAATTGTATGTGACCGTCAGTAACAAAAAGACTCTGTTGATCAACGAGTATACTTGTATTACATTTATTTAGCTACAAAACGTTGTTTATAACATTTATATGAAAAAGAACGTCCATTGTGATCTCACATTATTTGTTACCTGAGAGAAAAGAACGAAAAAGAGAAATATATATCAATGGAGTAACTTTAAGTGAGAGGACACGCTATTAAAATGAAGGCTAACATATGTGTAACGAAAAGGAAAGCAAGAAGAAATTTGTTTGTTTTTCTCTCTTTCTCTTTCTTTCGATATCTTACCGTTGCTCAAATACATCCTAATAACCCTACAACATAATCTTTGACCTAACTAAAAAGCAAACCGACCTGTATATGGATGATACTAATCAATGTTGTAGTCATTAATTTTGTTTTGTAGCAATTGACTTACCAAAATACGATTAATTTTTTTAAGGAATTACGTTATAAAAATGGTAAAAGAGTGATGTCAAGTTTATTCGATGACAGGTCATTATGTATTAGAAAAAAAAA